CTGTTTCTTCTCTCTGCATTTGAGCCCGCATAGTTTCTCGGTGAGCTCTTCCCACCAGCCTTCTGCTTATGGTAGAATGATTTGCCTAAAATTCAAATCTGGTCTGTACTTCCTTAATTTAGAGGTTCCTCAATACTCAGTATTCTACAAAGTTTCCAATAAAATGCTACTGACTTTGGAGGAACCTTTCTCAACTGGAGTTTCATAAGAGAATTAAACCTGAACACCCTTAAGCATCCATCGTCTTCATTTTTTCCCCACTGCATCTAGAATGGTGCTAGTTAAGTAGTCTTAAGGAAAATTGAGAAAACAGTTTCTCCCATTTTTTGTTCTGTTGTTCATATGGGGAACCCAGTTAAGAAAGACAGGAGGAGAAAATGTCTTTTTCAGGAGGTCTGAGGGCATAACTGGGAGAAACTTCAGAAGAAAAAACATCAAATTTTATGGAATCTAAGGTTTTATCTTTAGATTTCTCATGTGACAATTGCATTCTACCATGTATGGTTAAAAGCGTTGTGTGTGTGTGTGTGTGTGTGTGTGTGGCCAGCTCAGCCCACCAGGGGGCGGGGCTGGCTGGCATGTGGTGCTGGGGGATTGAACAGCAGTCCCTGTGCTTTGCTAAGCTTGTTCTAAATAGGTGCTTTAGACCACTGAGCCATCTCACCAGCCCCATGGTTAAAAGTGTTTTTAAATATCAGTGAATAAAATTGATTCTATAGAAAGATTTGCCTGTGGTCTGTGGAACTGTACATAATTACCATTTTTTTTAAAAGTGTTATAGAGGGCATTTTATATATGTTTTATTATTCACTGTCTCTAGAAAAATGTCCAAGATCACACAATAAGATGTTAGAGTTAAGGTACAAAACCCGTGTTCTTCTTAACTCCAGAGCCTATACATTTTCTACAGCTTTATGCTAAATTGAGTTAAAAACCTGGAAGACTTTTTGCCCATTTCTAAGTTTATCATCACTGAAATACAGAACTTTTTTGGGTTGTTACTATTGTGGTTCAGATTGTGCATTTCATACTTCTTATGCAGAAGACGTCAAAACCTTGACTATCTAAAAGAAAAATGAACAACAGTACATTTCATACAACAGGGAATCTTATCTCTTTGGTGTCTCAGAAATAAACTAAAATGGCTTTGAAAAAAAAAAACCAGCTGGGTGTAGTGGTACAGGTCTGTAATCCTAGCACTCTGGAGGCCGAGGCAGGAGGATTGCTGCAAGGTAAAGGCCAGCTTGGGCTTCACAGTGAGGTTCATTTTTGTTTTGTTTTCTTTTTTGTGGAACTAGGGATTGAACTCAGGCCCTTGTGCTTGCCAGAGAAGTGCTTATTCCGGTGAACCATCTCCCTGGCCCCTCACAGTGGGTTTAAGGCATGCCTGAACTACATAGTGAGACTGTCTCAAACACAATTTATTTTTAAAGATTTTTTAGACAAGGCATCGTTAAGTTGTCCAGGTTAGCCTTGAACTTAACAATCCTGGCCAAGGAACTGGAATACAAGCATGGACCACTAGCCCAATAGAGCTGGGGTTTTTTGATAAGAAGAAACCATCTTGCTATTATTAAAACTTTGGGTCCTACTTGACATGGTGGCACGTGCCTGTAATCCCCACACTCAGGAGCCTGGAGGAAGGATCACCACAAGCTTTTGACCAGCCAGGTTCGGACTACATAGTGAACTCAAGGCAAGCTTGAACTACACAGCCCAACCCTGTTTCAAAAAAAGTAAAAATAAAAAATAAAAAACACACAAAAGACTTTGGTTTTAGGTAAACCCCACACAGACGATTAGAGCTACCTAATTTCTGTCTGCTTACTCAGGGCGCCTGGAAAAGCGTACACGTTAAAGTATTCAGATATTAGAATTTGCCCTGACCCAACCTGACATTTATATAGCCATTGGTGATTCGGTTTCCACTAGATGTCTAGGGGGAATGTCTGGAATGTACTGGCAGTGGTCATATTCAACCTACCATGTGATCTGTTTCCTATAGCTCCTCTGACAAGCTGTAACAGTATTCAGATAGGTAGAGCCATAGTGATTTCATTACCTGGCTGAACCCTCCATTCCTAATTCCTTTAGAAATTTTGAGGGCCAGCCTGATAGCGGATTAAAGCGCCTGCTTAGGCAGATGCAGGGATTTGATCCCTGGCTTGCCTGGGTCGAGATTGAGATTGGGTGTGGTGGGATACACCTGTAATCCCAGCATTTGGGAGACTGAAGACAGGAGGATCACGAGTCCTATCTGTATAGTGAGACCCTATAAACTCTGTACTTAAATACATACATTAAAAAAAAGAGAGAAAAAAATAAAGTTTGAGGTTTGGAAATCTGAGGGCATCCTGAGGATGATATACAGAGTCCTGTGAGATTCTTTTATCTGTAACCTCCTGCATGTTTCTTATTCTGGACTCTTTCATCTTGTATTACTGAAGACTGTATATTAGTGTCTATACTCTTTTTTTTTTTTGAGACATGGTCTCACTATGCAGTTCAGGCTGGCTTTGTGCTCGTTTTTGTAGCCTCTTGGCTGGTCTCGAACTTGCAGAGATCCTCCTAGCTCAACCTCGAGTGCTGGGATTACAGGTGTGTACTGCCATGCCTGGTTCCAGGGCTGCATTGTGGGCGCCTGCATCCTGGCTGAGAGGGCGCACCCCGGGATCTGGGGCCAGGGAGCAAACTTAGGTCCCTTTGCTTGCCAGGTAGATGCTCATGCCTCTGAGCTATCTGTCTGGCCCCAGTGTCTGATACTCTTTTTTTTTTTTTTTTTTTTTTTTTGGCGGAACCAGGGATTGAACTCAGACCCTTGTGCTTGCCAGGCAAGCTTTTATTCTACTGAGCCATCTCCCGGCCCCCCATGTCTGATACTCTTTACACTAAGCAAAACAGGGAAAGAGTTAAGCTGTAAAATCAGGAGTTCAGATTATAAGACTTGTTGAGTCCAAAAAAAATTTAGAGAAGCAGAATGAAAGTCATTTCCTAAGACAGTAGACAAATATTCAGGAAACACCTCTGCACCCCAAAGATAGGCACAGCTGCCACACAGTGACTGTTAAAGGGAGGTTCAAAGTTATAAGCAAACAGCTGATTCTCCTGGTTCTTGGGCTGTTGTTAGTGACAGGAAATCTTGTTCCCCAAGCTGCTGGTTTCCTGTTTTATTTTTACTTGTTGCAGATCAGAATGTCCATAACAAGGAGCAGTCTGTTCCAATGGGTTCTACTCCCTCTTTGAGCTTGAATGGCGTTTTTTTCTTTTCCTTTTGGTCAGACAATGTGTTGGTCCACTTTTAATATCTATGGGCCAGCCTGATAGCTCAGCGGACTAAAGTACCTGCTTAGGCAGAGCACAGCAGCCACATTCTATCTGCACGTGCTGTGCCGGCCCCACCGCTGGGGCATGCTGACACTGTGATTGAGACTGGGTTAGCTGGCTAGCGCCTGTAATCCCAGCACTTGAGAGACTGAGAACTGGAGAATCACGAGTCCAGTCTACTTAGTGATACCCTGTAGACCCTGTCCTAATTACACACACACACACACAC